CGGGGCCCGAGGCCTCTGGGGGCTGATGGGGGCAACCAGAGAAGGCCCAGAGGAGGAGGTGCGGGCGGCTCCTTTCAAAACGGGGTTCTCGGTCGAGCTCCACATCGGGTCCATTCGAGGTATCACAGAGGGAGGCGCCGTGCGAGGCGGGGGCCCAAGCGTCTGGGGGCTGATGGGGGCAACCACATAAGGCCCATAGGAGGAGGTTGGGCTCCTTTTTCAAAACAGGTTTCTCGCTTGAGCTCCACCCCAGGTCCTCTCGATGTATCCCAGAGGGAGGCGCCGTGCGAGGCGGGGCCCGAGGCCTCTGGGGGCTGGGGGGGGGGGGGGGGGGGGGCAACCATCGAAGGCCCAGAGGAGGAGGTGCGGGCGGCTCCTTTTTTCCCAGACGGCGAATCCCAGGGGGATAGCGCGCATGCGCATTTTCTCCTCCCGCGACAATGGCCCACCAGGAAAGTGCGCAGCCGAAGGAGTGCAGCCGCCGCCACCTAGCCACAGGAAGCTGCATGACTCAGCAATCTCCCAGAGAGCTCTCAGAAGACAAGGGCTTATCGGAGGCATACCAGAGGCGTTTCAGGGCCTTTCAGAGGCATCTCTGACAGTTTTCAGAGGCTTCTCAGAGGGAGATCGCTCCGATGGCTTTCAAAGGCCTCCACGAGGGCTCGAAGGGGCCTCTCAGAGGGCTATCAGAGACTTCTCAGAAGCAAGTCCAAGAACCCTCTCAGGGCCACCAAGAGACTTCTTGGGGGCCGCCAAGGGGCATCTTAAGGGCCGCCACACAAACCTCTCAGGGGCCGCCAAGAACCTCCTTGGGGTCCGCCAGGAACCTGCTCATGGGCCGCGTATCTTCTTGGGGGCCGCCAGCAACCTTTTTGGGGACCGCCAAAATGCTTCGCATGGGCCGCCAAGAGGCCCATCAGGGGCCGACAGTAATCCTTTTCAGTGGCAGCCAAGAACTCAATCAGGGGCCGCCAAGAATCCTTTTCAGGGGCCGCCGAGAACCTTTTCAGGGGCCCCAAAGACTCTTTCAGGGGCCGCCAGGGGGAGTCTCAGGGGCCGCCACGCAAACCTCTCAGGGGCCGCCAAGAATTATCTTTTTGGCGCCAAGGGGCGTCTTAGGGGCCGTCAAACAAACCTTCCAGGGGCCGCCGAGAATCCTTTTGGTGGCCCCCAGCAACCCTCTCAGGGGCCGCCGACAACCTTGGGGGCCGCTAAGAACCTTCTCGGGGGCCGCCAAGAGGCCTCTCAGGGGCCGCCAAGAGGCCTTTCAGGAGCCAGCAGGAACCTTCTCAAGGGCCGTCAGGAACCTTCTCAAGGGCCGCCAAGAACCCTTTCAGGGGCCGCCAAGAACCGTCTCAGGGGTTGCCAAGGGGCCGCCAAAAACCTTCGAACCTTCTTGGGGGCCGCCAAGAACCCTCTCAGGGGCCGCCAAGAATCCTCAAGGGCCACCAAGAATCCTGTCAGGGGCCGCCAGGAACCTTTTTGGCCGCTCGAGAACCCTTTCAGCAGGTCCATTTTTGAGAAAAAACTTCGAACTTGCTCCGAGGAGCGAGTCGTTCAACCGGGGAACGAGTGGCCCCCCCGCCCTCGTCTCGCGAGTCCCGCCAGCCCAAGGCCCGCGGGCGCCCGCCAACGCCAAGCGTCGCGCGCGCGCGTCGCTTCGTTTTGCCGTTCTCGGTTCGGGAATGTGCTCGCTGGCGCAGCGGCTGCCCCGCGCGCCTCGTCCGCGCAATTCTGCCCCGCGCGGTCGCGCGCGGTGTCCAGCCGCCCGCCGGTGGCCTGGGCGGGTCGCCTGGCGGGGCTTCCTTCTCTGCGATCGCCATGCGATTCCGCGCCGTCTGCGAAGTATCTAGATTGCCGGCGCCTCCAGGCGCCGAGCGAGCGTCGCCGCGCATTGCCGGCTTGGCCAGGGGGAAAGGGGAGGGGGATTGCTGAGAGGGCCTCTTCGACTTGCGCCTCTCGGCGGTGGCCAAAATCGGCGGCGGCGCCCGCTGGCAACAAGCCCCTGGCTTCGATCCAGCGCGCTGCCGACGTCGATTCGACCCCGCCTTGCCGGGAAAGTGGAGGGCGAAGCGGGGACCCGACTGTGAAGCAGGATGAGGAGGGCTTCCGGAGAGTGAGGACGTGGATTTCCATGAACCGTCACCCGAAGGTGATAGCTTCGCCTGGCCTCACCCTCCTCTGACCTTTTTCCTCATTGCTCCCGCCCCCGCCTGCGCGGCCCGGATAATCTTCCCTTCGCTCAGTCGTCGGAAGCGGGGTCGGGCGCGATCGCCTCCCGTCTACGAAGTGGGAAACCGCTACAATCCCTGTATCCAGTTTTTCCACAGTTGATCCTCATGTTGCGGGAGGGAGAGCACGGTTCGCTTGACCTGTCTAGCTCGACTCCTACTTGATCGCAGTAGGCAACTTTTGGTTAGCGCGTCGCTCCGCCAGTTCTGGCCCACCACGCTTCGGCGCGACGCGCTGCCCGCGTCCACGTCCTTGAGCGTCAAGGCCCCGAGCTTTCCCAACCCCCCGCCCCGCGGAGCGGAGCCACGCGCTATCAGCTCGCGTGGCATAGCGAGTGGCCGGGGCCGCTGCCGCGACTGTCTAAGCAAACAGTAATTATTGCATAGTTGGCTCAGTTTGCTCCATTACGACGCCGCCGCCACGTTGTTCAATACGAAGTAGGTTATCGCTGGCAATCGGTTATGATGTCAGCCTTCTGCGACATTGCGATAGCGCGCCGATGGCACTCAGTGGTTCACCGGGGGCGCCGTCGTCGAAGTATAACGAAGTAGTTTGAGTACGTCGAGTCCAGGGTATTTTGATGCAGCGCCGGCGCTGGATATTATAGTCAGCGGCGACAGAGAACTTGACAGCAGGGGTCCTGAAGGGGCCCCTGGGGCCCGAAAGGGGCACGAAAGATGTACTTCTCTTCGCCCCCTGGCTCCTTGACCTCTGACCTCCGATGCAGCATTGAGTTTCTGAATTGCGCGATCCCCGGACGTCCCGAACGGTTTCCCCAGGGCCGGTTCTCGATCCTGACCCGTTTCTTGACAGTCCTCGTGTTCGGCGAGGGCTCCCAGAGACCGAAAATTGCAGGAACAAAAACGCGTTGAGGTTCTCGAGACGTTGGAAGTCTGGGTTCGCAGCCAAGTCGCTGAGAAAAGGACCACTTTGAGTTCAGAAGGTGTTCGTTGTTCCCTGAGCTCTTCCATGGCTGGTCCTTTGACTCAAGCCCTCCTCGTGCACTTTAGGCGCTTTGGGGGCCAAACAGGGGCTTCGTTGCATATTTAGCGTTCCTTCTGGTACAGTAGTACCTCAAGAGTTCATATTAACCCTGCATTTGAACTCGTAGCCATGAAGAAAGTCAAGCTAGTGCAGTGTAGTGTCATAGCGTAGTGTTGAGGACACCTGGGTGTGACACTACGCTACCGTTAGCGTAGTGTCGTAGCGTAGTGTTGGGGACACCTGGGCGTGACACTACGCTGTGACACTACGCTACAGTTAGCGTAGTGTCACAGCGTAGTGTTGGGGACACCTGGGCGCGACACTACGCTGTGACACGACGCTACGGTTAGCGTAGTGTCACAGCGTAGTGTTGGGGACACCTGGGCGTGACACTGCGCTGTGACACTACGCTACGGTTAGCGTAGTGTCATAGCGTAGTGTTGGGGGCACCTGGGCGTGACACTACGCTATGACACTACGCATCGGTTGAGGCGGGGGAGAAGGAATCGTTTTTTTGTCGTTTGCTTATCCTTGGGGTTTTGCTTGATTATGCTTCGTGAGAGAGGACACTACGCTACCGTTGCGTAGTGTCATAGCGTAGTGTTGGTGACACCTGGGCATGGCACAACGCTATGATACTACGATTTGGTGGAGGCGGGGGAGACGACATCTTTTTGTTTGCGTTAGCTTTTCATTAGGGTTTTGCTTGACTCTGCTCCGTGAGAGATGACACTACGATGCCGTTGGCGTAGTGTCATAGCGTAGTGTTTGGGGGCACCTGGGCGTGACACTATGCTATGACACTACGCTACGGTCGAGGGGGGGGGAAGGAATAGTTTTTTATCGTTTGTTTTTCCTTCGGGTTGTGCTCGGTTCTGCTCCGTGAGAGAGGACACTACGATACCGGTAGCGTAGTGTCATAGCGTGGTTTGGGGGGCACCTGGGCGTGACACTACGCTATGACATTACCCTATGTTTGAACGGGGGAGAAGAAATAGCTTGTTTGTTCGTTTGTTGTTCCCGAGGGTTTTGCTTGACTCCTCTCCGTGAGAGATGGCACTACGCTACAGGTAAGCGTAGTGTCATAGCGTAGTGTTGGGATCACCTGGGCGTGACACTCCGCTATGACACTGCGCTACGGTGGAGGCGGGGGAGAAGGAACCGTTATTTTTTTGTCTGCTGTTCCTTAGGGTTTTGCTTGACTCTGCTCCGTGAGAGAGGACACTACAATACCATTAGCGTAGTGTCATAGCGTAGTGTTGGGGGTACCTAGGCGTGACACAGTGCTATGACACTACGCAACGGTTGAGGCGGAGGGAACAGGAAGAGTTTGTTTGTTGTTGTTTGGCGTTGCTTTTCCTGAGGGGTTTACCTCGCTGGACTTTGCTTTGTGACAGAAGATTTCACGCTACCGTCAGCGTAGTGTCATAGCGTAGTGTTGGACACACTCGGGTGTGACACTACGCTACGACACCACGCTACGGTTAGCGTAGTGTCGGGGACACGTGGGCGTGACACTACGCTGTGACATGACGCTACGGCTAGCGTGTCATGGCGTAGTGTTGGGGACACATGGGCGTCACACTACGCTATGTCACTACGCTACAGTTAGCGTAGTGTCACAGCGTAGTGTTGGGGACACCTGGGCGTGACACTACGCTGTGACACTACGCTACGGTTAGCGTGAAGTTAGCGTAGTGTCATAGCGTAGTCTCAAGCTTCACGGTTAAGATCTACTCTAGTACCTCGTCGGTCTCGCCCCCCCCCATGACGCAGCGCCCAAGGCCAGGGCCTCCGCTGCTGCCGGCGGCTCCAGCGGCTCAGCCTGCCCGAGCCGCCTGGGCCCAGCTCGGCCCCCGCGGGCGAGGCGTGTGGCGGCAGCCTCGGCGGCCCTTGCGCGCTCGAGGGCGCCGCCGCGGCCGAAGGCCCCAGCCACAGCATCGTCTTCTTGCTGCCCGGCGCCGGGGAGGCGTCGGGGGCAACTCGATTAGACGTAAGAGTGACCCTTCGCCGGAGTGACCTTTGGTGCGCGCCCAGTGGGGTCCCCCGATCGCTGAACGCGAAGTGGTAGCAGCGGCTTGCGCGCCCAGGTTTGGCCACCCCGCGTCCCCCGTTTAGCTGCGCACCGAAGGTCATCCTTGCCTAGGGTCACGCTTGCGTGCAGCCGAGCAGTTCTGCTTGGATCGGCGCGGGGGTTGCCAAGGGGGCCAGGGCGTTACGAGTGGATAATCAGGTTGGTGGCAGCTGGCCTGGCCCAGCCCATCAGTAGGTTGCGAATGCCCCTAGTGGCTTAGGCGCAGTTGCCTAGCTTCGCTAGGTAGGCCGAGCCCACTTAGCCCAGATCGTTCACCCTCCTTAGCTGGTTATGGCATTTGCAACCCACTTTCATCAGCTAGGTTTGGCAGGATATAGCCTACCTCGGCATCCACTGGTGACCTCCCTATCCCCTTAGCCATCCCCGCGCCGATCCAAGTAGGGGCGACGTCGGCTGCAGCGTTGGGGTTCGAGGTTTGCGGTATTCGGCACCTTCGTTGGTCTCGGCGGGTGCCCAGCCCAGGGATGCTTCCAGGGGTCTCCAGATCGTCCCGAAAGGTCGCCAGAGGCTCAAGTCATGACCCGAAAACCACCACGGGAAAGGCCCACGGGGGAACGCATCGACTCCCAGTCGCTTATTCATCGCCGACAGGGGCCCGATAGCCCGCCCCGCCCAGCACCGCGCAGACTCGCCATCGGGGGCCTATTGCCGACCAATCGGCGATGTATCGCCGATTCCAGGTCGATGTTTCCCCCCCCCCCCCCCGGGCAGGCCTGCCGCAATGCGTCCCCCCCGAGGCGGCCCGGAGCCGATTGCGCAGCTCGGTGTTCGAGAGGGCGGCCAACTCAGTCGCCAGCTGCCCAGACGTCGACTGGCACTGCCTATCGTGGCCCGCGACGCCGCCACCCCTGGGCGTCGACCGCGCCGTGCAGCACGTGCTGCAGCAGTCCGTGGAGGCCATCTCGAAGAAGAGGGCCGAGGCGTCGGAGCTGGGCGAGAGGCCCGGGCGAATCCAGGTGAGCGACGGGAGGGAGCCCCGGACCCCGCCAAGGCTCGACTACGTGCAAGAGTGACCCTTCGCCGGAGTGACCTTTGTTGGTGCGGGCCCACAGGGGTCCCCCGATCGCCGAGCGCGGTGCGATAGTAGCGTCTTGCGCGCTTGCGTTTGGCCCTTCCAAAAGCTCCGCACCAGAGATCACTCTTACCCGGGGTCACTCCTGCGCGTAGTCAACATTCGTGGCAAAAATCATCACGACGGGAGGCTTTCGGCCATTTTTGACGGCATCCGCGGGCCCTCCACCGCGGTCACCAGGCCTGTCACGGAGCGGGACCGGGAGGAAGAACCGGTCCTCAGGGTCGAGGTTTCCGGGGGCCCGCGTTGTGACCAAAAACGAAACAGTTGGCTTCGGGGGTCTGGGAGCTCTAGGACTCCCAAATTGGGTCCGAATAGGTGGGGTCGTAGGATCGCTCCGCATCGCCGATGCATCGGCGATGCGGCTCGATGTGGAGCCCGAGTTTCGCCACGCCGACGTCGCCGATACATCGCCGACGTGCCGATGAATCGCTGATGCGTCGCCGATGCATCGCCGATGCATCGGCGATGCGGCTCGATGTGGAGCCCGATTTTCGCCACACCGACGTCGCCGATACATCGCCGACGTGCCGATGAATCGCCGATGCGTCGCCGATGCATCGGCGATGTAATTATTGGCGATGCGGCGCGATCCTCCGACCCCATCGACTCGGACCCCATCTAGGAGGCTTCTTCTAGGACTCTAGGAGCGGGTTCGACTGCGCGGACATGCGCGCGTAAGCTTCCTGTGTAAAAGCGCGCGTAAGCGCCCTCTTCTCCACGCGGTGTGCCACGCTGCCGGTCCGTGTACTGAGCTGTGGCGTAAGGTCGCCATGTCGCCGTGCGTAAGTCTCGACTCGCTTCTTTTGTCGCTCAGGTGTTCCTCATCGGGCACTCTTTCGGTGGCGCCGTCGCAACCCAGGTTGGGGGCGCAATTAGGTACCGATACCGCTGCTCTCCGGACCTCTCCCAGGGTGCGTCCTGACCAGAATTTCGAGGATAATCCAGCCGTGGGGACGGGTGCTCTCCAGCATGAGCAGCGGTATCGGTGTATGTTCGTCCTCTGGCAGGCTGCGTGCGAGCTGACCCGCGTTTTTGGAACCTTTGGGACGGGCGCCTCAGTCTCCATCGAAGGCTTGTGCGTTATCGACACGGTGCCGCACGAGGACACCATTATTTCACTCCCTGGCGAGAACGGGCGCGACCAGGGTGGGGGAGGGGGGGGAGGGGGCTAGTTACCTCGCGATTCGCGCCGGCGCCGTCTGGGAACGCCTTCAGAGTAGCGAACATCTGGACGGCGACGGCGCGGGGGGGAGTGCCGGTCATGGCCCGTCACTGGCGTCGTCGCGAATGACAAAAAATGGGCTCGAGGACAGGGGTGCGCTCGAGCTGGACCTCTTGCAGCACGCGCGGGTGCTGCTGATCGCCAGCCACGGCCTCGCCGAGGGCGTCGCTCGCCCCACGAACACCGCGACCCGGGAGCTGTACGGTGCGGTGCCAGCGACGCGGAAGGATCGTGAGGAGGAGGAGGAGGAGGAGGAGGAGGAGGAGGAGGAGGAGGGGAAGGGGGAGGAGGGGGGTGCAGAACGTTGCACCATGTGTCCCCGAAAGGGGCCCCCTGGGGCCCAAAAGGGTCACGAATGGCGCTCGTTTCTCCCCCCGTTCATTCATCGCCCCCTCTTGAAGCAGCGCTCGAGTCCGCCGAAACGGGGGGGATGGGGAGAGGGCGGGGGACGAAAATTGCCGCCCTCGGCTGGTCTGGGCCTCGCCGCCGACGGCGGGTCGGACGGAAGGGGGGGGATGTTAATGAGAGCAGGGGGGGTGCTAGCTTCGAAAATTGCTGCATGCTGCCGGTCTCGGCTGCATCCGTGCGAGCGCTTCCCTCGAAACATTGGCGCCTCCATCGCCGGGAGGCGCCGGAGAAACCAGCTAGGCACCGGTCGTTGAAAGTAGGTGTTTCTGGACTCCCAGGTTCCAATCTACCCTCGGCGCCTTTCTACTTCAAGGATATACTGTGTTGCCTTCGTCCTGCCTCGTCAGGGGGCGGGTGCAGATACAGTCTTCTGCAACACCTTCGGCTTCATGCTTCTCTTCATTTCTTCCCACCGATGGGTACGCAGCTGATTCGCTGACCCCCCCTTCTGCTACCCCCCATCTCGTGTGGCCTGGCAGGAGATGCTCCTGCTCCCCAGGAATGAGCGCATCAGCGACTGGCAACTGCTGCTGCGGCTGACGGACTTCGTTCTGCGGGGCCACTTCGAGGACGCGGAGCGGGCGGAGGCGCCAAGGCCGAAGGCCACTGTCTGAGGCTCTGTCCAGCACGAACGGGCCCTCTCCAGCTGGGGGACCACTGGGGGGGGCTGGTCCCTGGCTGCTCGTGTTTCGGGCTTGTCCTTCTACAAGGGGAAGATTCAGAAATAGCCAAAAAGTACAACGGGGACGATTTTTTCTGTTACCATTTTGGAATATTGTTTGACTATCATTTGTTTTTCGTTCAAAATCCGTCTGTAGGGGGACATGCCCGAGCTAACGCTCGCGAGGTAGACTCGTGCCGTCTCGGCGCAGCGGCGACGCCGGCGCGGGCGTTCAAGGTTGGCGGCCGCTGACGGCGCGAACTCGGCCAGTGCGGAGCGATGTCTGTTGCCAGGGAGCCGAGGTCGTGCAAGACAGGGCGACCCACGCGGTGTCGGGAGCCAGCGCTCCAGGCGCCACGAGCCTGCCATGGGCCTTCTCACCAAAGCACACCCCTTGGGTGCCCGCGGTCTGTCGCTAGCGCACCTCGGGTCCCCCATTCTCTTGCGGCCAGGGAGCAGTGCTGCGAGGCTCTGGGTTGGCGGCGCAGCCTGCACAGGGCGACATGCACGGCCCAGGCCCAGGGGACCTGGTTGATAAAACCATAATATAACTGAAACATGTGTTTTGTTTCATGCCGTAGCGTCGTCAGTGACATCCTTGATTGAGAAAGGTGTCATTCACCTCCCCATCTGGATCTCGACTTGAAACCTCGCTGAAACCCGTGCCGCCTAATTTTTCTTCTGCATGTTTCCTCGCTCTCTCGCTGTTGAAATATGTGTCTAAATCTTCATCTGAATCCCCACTCGTGCTCTCACTCTTTAAACATTCCCTTACATATTCACATGCATCCCCACTCGCGCTCTCAATGTTTAAGTCTTCACCGGAATAGTCACCCACATCTTCACTCACGCACTCATTGTAAAAAGAATCAGAAACATGTTCAAGTGCGTTGCCATGTTGAACTTCGCCTACATCTTGGCTTGCGCTCGGTCTGCTTCTGTCTCAACCTGAACCTCCACCAACAGCTTCACCTCAATTTTCACTGGCGCTCTCATTGCTCAGGTCTTCACTTTCATCTGTGCCCGAATGTTAATTTCAACTTCTGCCCAGTGTGTTTTTCGCGCTCTTGCTGTTTAAGTGATAACCTACATGTTTGGTTTAATATTCAAGCGCGCTTTGACGATCTAAAAAGTCCCCACTCAAATATGCACCTAAACCGTCATGTTATTATTTACCTAAATCTTCGCTCACGCAGTGCCGCATTAACAACTCAGTTAAATATGTACTTATTTCTTCGCCGAAATCTTGACTAGCGATCCCGATGGAATCCTCAACCACATAAACCGTCACTAAACTATTCACCTAAATCTGCACTTACGTTCGCACTGTTATACCGGTTGCTTACATAACCATCTCACTCTCCATTGTACCTCCGTAACAATTCACACTCGCGTTCTCACTGGTTAAATCTGCTCAAAGCTTTACCTGAAGCTTCACCCACATTTTCACTCGCGCTCCCAACGCTTCAATATTCATTTAATGCGTAATGTGAACATGTATCACACTTTCCACTTGCGACCTCACTGTTCAAATGTTTCCTGTCTATCCGAGCCTAGATCATCACCAACATCGTTACTCGCGTTCTGACGTCCAAACTCTTCACGTAACTCTCCACCTAACTCTTCACCGACATATTCACTTAAACCTTCACTCGCGCTTTGATGGATTCTACATATTAGTTTCATTCTTCACCTGAATCGTCACCTCAGTCTTGGCTCGCGCTCTAGACTCCAGATATCAGTCAGTGCAGGTTCTTACTAGATCAGATGACTGAAATGAAAATGAAGCGGACCAGGGTGGACTGTAGTAGACTGGACTGGATTTGGGTAAACTCTACTCCACTCTACTCGATTCCGCTCTAGTAGACTTGGATCTACTGTACCATCTAACCAAATCGATTATGCTCTACTCTGCCCTTGTCTGGTCTGCCCTGCCCGAACCTACTCTGCTATATTCTACTATGTTATATACTCCCGCTCTGGTATACTCCACTCATATTGTCATCTGCTCTACTATTCTACATTCTGATCCACTCGATTATGTTCTACTCGTCCACGCCACTCTACTCTATTCTACTCTACTCAGCGCTACTCTACTTCTGAGTTCGGCGATGATCGGACCAGTGCTGAGGTGCCATTAGGACAGCCACAGGACGCATCTACTCCTAGTCTATTGGTAGTCTGCCCCCACTCTGCTCCTACTCTACCCTACTCCCACGCTGCTCTACTCTACTCTGCTCAGCGCTACTCTACTCCACCCTTTTCATTACTTTCTTCCTTGCTCTACCCACCTACTATGCTCTACCCTGCTCTGCTCGGTTCTACTCTACTCTAATACACTCTGTCTGTTCTAGTTCTGATGTTGTCGAGTGTTGGGCGATTTCTGGTACGCCCGTGGGACAGCCACAGGAAAGCTAGGGCAACAGCAGAGGAAGACACTGATCAGCAGAGGAAGCCCTTGCAATCTCAGAGACAGCTATTGCAGCAGCAGGGGTCCCCATTGCAATAGTTTGACGCTGATTCGAGGGGGCGGGGGGGGGGGAAAGGGGCGCCGTTGGACCAGTTCTCTGGATACGTGGGCGGGGCTCCTATGGGAAAGCTCAGTTTGAGAACTGTTACACTCGTCTCTTAAATCTCCCTATAGGTCTTCGTTGGAATCCCCACCCACATCTTCTCGGGCGCTCTCTCTCCCTCTCTCTATACTCAGCCCCCCACCTAAGTCTTCACGCACATCTGTTTCAAATATTTATTTGCATTGTCGCCGTACCAATGTTCAATTGCATCCTCAGCTAAATCGTGACCGAAGTGTTCACTCACGCTATCAGTTTTAACATATCCACCTAGCCATCTCGGTATTCACCTGGATCTCCATTCGCGGTCGGACGGTCCGAATCTCCGCGCAACTCGTCAATCACATCTTCAATTAGCGTATCGCCACCAGCCCACTCACACGCCTTGCCCATGAGACTTGACAGGAAAGGGACGAATAGACACATGTAGCTAAACAAAGCGGGCAGCCAGGGTTAACAGCGAGATGCTCGGTAGCAAGGAGGTAGCTTTGGAGGGCCTCTTCTGGCCATCCTTGGGGCCCGCGTGGGGCCGAGGGAAGGAGGAGGAGGAGGGGGAGGAGGAAGAAGATGACGACGAGAAGGAGGAGGAGGAAGAGGAGGAAACGGAAACGGACGAGGACGAGGAGGAGGAGGAGGACAACGAGACCGAGGACAGAGCCTTCAAGTCGCATCTTGGAGCCCTCTTTGGACTCTTTTGGGTTATCTTGGGGTCCTCTGGGGTCTCTTTTGCGGTTTCTTGGGGCCCTCTTGGGGCCCTCTTGGAGCCCGCTTGGGGCTCGTTTGGGGGCCCTGGGGGGACTCTTGGGGCCATCTTGGAGGCCATCGGTCAAAGGTGGGGAGTCCTCGAATTGCCTCCCCTCCTGGGGTCACCAACATCGCCCCTTTGAGACTTCTTGGGGCACTCTTAGGCCGCTCTTGGGCGCTCTTGGGACAGTCGAGGGGGCCTCTTGGGCCCCGTACTGGCTGCCTTGAGGCTTCAAACGCGCCTCGGAAGCGAAAAGGCGAGACGGCCAGATTGATTGTCCAAAAGGTGTTTGATATATTGTGGCCTCTTGGGGGGGGGGAAGGAGCTCCGAGGCCACTTGGAACCGTCTCGTGGCCCTCGTCGGGACTCTTGGAGGTACGTCGGAAGCGTTACTAAACCACCGTAGGCTATCTTGAGCCATCTTGGAGACCATCTTGAAGCATCGGGCGCCCTCCTGGACACGTTGTGGGTCATCTTGGACGCTCCATCCGGCCGCGAGCCCCCCAAAAAACCTCAGGGAGGGGGAGGCAGGTACACCGCCGGGAAGGGAAGCGCTGTTTGTTACTTGGAAGAGGACACAACTATATGGTTAGACCGTTTTAGCCAAAAGAGCTGGTTGAATTGTTTTTTTGCGATGGCGCCTTTGGTGAACCACTAAGTGTCCACGGTGCGCTATCGAGATTTGGCAAGGGGCTGGCACAACAATCGCTCGCAAGCTAAGACCTATTTCTCGTATTACTGAATTTGGCTGAGGCGTCGTTAGCACCTGCCCCACGTAACCGAGTAAGCGACATGTACAAACGATGGGCAAACGGTCACCTAAATCTTCACTTGGATATTCACTCGCGCTCTGCCTGTTTAACTTGTCACTGGAATCGCCACCACGGTTTTTACTATCTAGATCTTCGCCTAAATCTTTACTCGCATTCTGATTGTGTCAAGCTTCCCTTAAACCTGTACCGTGTACCCGAATCGTTAGTTCGATCTCCACCTGCACCTCAACTTGCGTCCTTCCTGATGGAATGTTCACCTACATCTGCACGTACAGATTACCAACATCTCAACCTTGAAATTCATTCGCAATCTCATTGTTTAAATCTTCACTTGTATTCTCGCTTCAGGCGTCTCCGGAATCTTCTGTCGCGCTCTTCCCGTTTACAGTTCAACCTCAATCGTCACCAAACGTTTCACCTAAATCTTCACTCACGCTCTCACCAAAGTCGTCGATTTAAGTGCAGTAAGTGAAGATACAAGTGGCGACTTGGGTGAGAGCGCGAGTGAAGATTTAGATGCACGTGGATATTAACGTGAACATTTAGGTGCTGGTCTTAGTTCAGATTTAAGCCGTGAGGACGCCCGCGCATATTCAGATTCAGATGTAGGTTCAGATTTGCGTGGAGACTTCAGTAAGAATCTAATGAGTGATTTTTGAGATGAAGATTCAAGCGCAGATTTAAGTGATAACCCAGAAGAATATTTACACGCTGAGAGCGCTAATGAAGCTTTGGATGAAGATCTTAGCAAAGATTTAGGTGAACATGCAGCTGACGATTTAAACCGCGGGCGCGAGTGAAGATTTAGGTTGAGATGTGGGTGAACATGAAGGTGCAGTTTTAGGTGACGGTTTAAACGAGAAGTGCGTGAATGAGAACTTAGTTAACATTCCAGGTGATCATTTGGATGAGTCCCAAGTGGGGATTTGAACATGGAGAGCGTGAGTCATGACTCAAGTATGTCAGTGCATAGTTAGGTGTTGATCTAAGTGTAATTCTAAACAGTGTAAATGCGAATGAAGGTTGAGGTGACGGCTAACATGAGGATCTAGGTGAATATTGACATGGTGGGAGCGCGAGTGAAGATTTGGGTGAAGATCTAGGTGATGAGTTCGGTCCATATTGATACGGTGAGAAAGTGAGTGAGAGAGACAGAGAGAGAGTAACGATTTGGACGAATGTGTACGTGAAGGGTTAGGTGACGGTTCAAGTGAATATCTATTTAGTGCGAGTTCAAGTGGGGAGTCGGGTGGCGATTGAAGTGGCGATTTAGATTCAGATTTCAATGTCCGAAAGAGGCCACACGAAGATCCATCCAAACCATCATTCAAACTTGCGCCTGCACCTTTACATTGGGAAAAAACGCCACCCAATCTTTATTCACCAGCATATTCAGTTGAACCTTTGATTAAGAGTTAAATCGCGTTCTCATAGTCTCAATCT